CCCCAAAACCCCAAAACCCCAAAACCCCAAAACCCCTAAAGTTTTATCCAGGATTGAGGTTACTTATAAATCATCCCTTTCTTTACTTTGTAGTTGAAATCATCACTAGCCAAACTAGAGGGGGTGTCCACCTTGGCTCCTCTATTAAGAATCTGATCAATCTGTTCGTCTGTCAAAGGTCGAGTCATGTTTTTGAATTCTGCCAAAGAGTTAAGAATCTCTTTTCCAATTTTCATTAGCCCTGGGTCTTCACTTGAAATCCCTTTCTTCAGCAAAGTTCTTTGATAAGCAATTGATCTGACTGAGACTGGCAGGATTTCCTCTTCATCTTTCTTTGCAAGTATTTTGTCATTGAATGGATTGAATTGAATAATCTCTTTGATTAATGCGAGCAAACAGCTTTTAAAAATTGCCTTGCAGAAGATCCTCTTGAACTCATCATAATTCACTTTTGCGCTAGACTTATTTTTCTGAACACTTCTGACTATACATCAGGATGTGATTTTACCAATTTTCTTTGCGATTTCAAGGTCAGGAGCAACTTGTTTATTGACCAGAAGTTTAGTGACATTTGGGAGAGGAACTTCATAATCCATCCTGCCCTCATCAGCAATGGACCAATATTCACGTACTTTAGGGTTAACGTAGAAATACCGATTTTAATTTGCTCTACAAGACTGGGAATCTTTGAATTATCCTTCCCTCTCTCAGCTCGAGACTTATACTGGGAGTTTAAGATTCTCAAATTAGCTTTATTTCTCCCTTCAATGTGCGTCTTTTGTTTCGAAAAGATGCCAACATTCCCCACCTGAATTTTAGAAGAAGGATTACTTGTAAATTCCTGACTGCTTGCAGATCATCTTGATCAGAGAGCTTCTCATTATATCTGGATCTCTGAGCAGGAGCTGAGATTTTATTCTTCATATTTAAGGGAGGAACTGGGGATTCTGTGATCGAGGGAATCTCGACTTTAGTTGTTTTGGAGGGGAGCTTTAGCTTACGCTCTGATTTTAATACAAAATCTTTCTTTAGCCTATCATTTCTAAAAATTTTCAAAAAGTCTTTCAGAGTGATTGAAAGCTCTTCATCTACAATACTTTCAAACTTTGAATCTAAGGATTTGATAAGCTGTACAACAAATTTCTTATCAGGAGCCAATCCAAGTGTAATTAGAGGTTCTGATATTTCATCAATCTCAAGAACTCCAGACCCGTCATCATCCCATGAGAAGAACAGTTTCTTGGCAAATTCAATCTGATCCTTAATATTGACTCTATCTCCAGCAAGATATCCTCGCTTTCTAAGCCATTGGGAGATATCAAAGCCAATCAGCTCATCTACGTTGTGGAACTTATCATTGTCTCTTATGAGCTCATAGTATACTTTATTCTTATCAAGGATTTTCTTTTCTAAAATTATTAGATGTACCGTTTACCTAGTTCTTCCTTTTCATACTCAAAATGATCAATATTTTCATTCTCTGAGCTCTTTCTCATACCAAACCTGTTCCTGTTGGTAGCCATCAGGGAGCTTATACGGTTGAATTGGTCCTTCTCATGATACCTAGAGGTAGGTAAGCAGCACTACTACTTTCTTTTCAATTGGTACTCTCCAGTTTTCACCTCATCTTCTTCAGATTCGTTGTCTAGAGATTAGTTCGAGTTTACTTTTTCCATTTGATGAATCTCTTCCTGATGTTACTTTACCCTTCTCTCTTTGCCATTCCCTAATTGCGTTCTGAATGTGGTTTGTCCTTTGAAGTGAGCTTGGTGCTTACCTCTTGAAGTTGATGAGCACTTCGTGTCCCATACGATCTCGGTCCTGTGCGTCCTTCTTATTCTCATATCTTGAAGTAAGCCTCATATAAGGATCATCTTTAGTTCTAAAACTCTTCACAGCAGGCTTAATCTTGCCATATTTCTTCTTATAAGACACTGGACGAGTAGGTTTCTTGGCTAACTTTAACGATTGCCTTTGACCTATAAATAATCATTTTGCAATGTACCGTGGACTTGCTGCTTGACTTTATCAGTCCCAGCTCTTCTAAGCATTTTAAGGATAGTCTTATGGCCTTTCCCATGGCAATCTATTGTCCTGTTTCGTTCATCAGATTCAGTAATTTCTATACTGGTTATTGTTGAGATACTCTCTCCAATTGAAGACTTGAGGTTGACATTTTGAGATTGGTTGTGAGTGCTCGTATCTATCACCTTTATTGCAGACATATCAACAATTTTTCTCCTAAAATTTCGATATGTGAATTCTTCATTATTGTCTGAAGCAAAGTAGAAAGCATTCCTGAGCATGCTCTTGCGAGCCTTATTTGAATGCCTAGAGATAGGAATTAACCTTACAGTCCTGTTTGTGGATTTCTCTGCTTCAGAATCTATTTGTGATTTTCTTCGAGAAAGTGCGTCTCAAGAAAGCCGCAAATTCTGATGTCTTTGCTTTCGCTGACTTGAATGGTCTTTTTCAATTTCTTCCATACTTTCTAAAGAGTTATTTCTTTCTTACTCTTGTTATTGGAGTTAACAAATTGATAAATTGAGCCAAGATAGTCTTTATCTTGTTCTAAATATAGTGATTTCAGATTACCTGATTCATCCCAAAAGCTGCTAGATCCGTTATAATATTTTTGACGTCTAGAATAAATCAGCGATCATACTTCAATTTTTCTATAGAAGACCTTAAAGTTAACGGAGTGGGATCATTTCTTGTATTTATCAACTTATTTCCTATAAAACTCACACAACACTTCAACTTTTTTGCAACAGATCTAGCATTTGTACTGACATCAGTCAGGATTTCCTTCGTCCTTAAAACTCCTCCGCTCGGCGAAAATATAGACTTCTCCATCCTTGTTGCTAAAATCTCTCCAAGACTTCTTACTAACACACTTCAGCGCCTCATCCCCTTTCCCAGGTACCTTCTCAAACAAATGTTTCTTCCTCTTCAGACTAGTCGTGACTACCTCCTATACCCCATCATCCATCTCCAAACTTACATATCCCTTCATTTTAAATATTTCAACTGAATAAAATCTCTAAGGGGTTTTGGGGTTTTGGGGTTTTGGGG